GGGGCTGGGGAAGGCGGTTGATGGGATGTTTCTGGGGAGGTTTGCGCATGAGGTTGAGGGGGTTAGGAAGGTTGTTCAGGAGGTGGAGGAGTCGTTGGCGGCATAGACTAGAGCAATAGAGTTGGATCATGAGTGGTCGAATTAGGACTTCATGTGAAGTATCTAGATGATGCAAATTGACAATGCTGGGACTATTTACAATTCGGGCTTGAAACGCTCGCATCCGATTCCAACCGGTCTATTGACGACTTTTCTTTTCCTCTCGCAATTCCTGCTTCACACGGGTGACCGTGCCAATTCCGCCATACGTCACGGCCGTGTACATCATCGCGACCGAGGCCCCCGCGTCCAGCACAGCCTGCGCCTGCTTGCCGTTGGTGATACCGCCAGAGGCAAAGATCACCTTGCGCGCCGGTTGATTGGCCGGCGTGGGCGGCTCGACTGCGGGCACGTTCTCCACGTCAGGCTCGGCTCGCGTCACGGTCGCTACCAGGTCCTTGGCCGTGTCGGTTTCCTCCGCCTCGGACGCGGGCGCGGGCGGTGGTGCATCCAGCAGCGCCCGGTACCGGGCCACCAGGGCAGCGGTGCGGTCGAACAGCTGGGGCCCCGAATAGCCGCCCGTCTCCTTCAGCGTGGCCTGTTCCTTGGACGGAAGAGTGAAGCCCTGCGGCAGCGGGTCCGGCCGGCGGTTGGTCGTGTTGCCCACGATGACGCCGTCCACCCCCGAATGCCACACGGCGTCGCAGATGCCGGAGACCTGCTCGTCCGAGTCCTCGTCCGGGCTGACCTTGACCATCACGTACGGCTTGGTCTTGCGGTCGACGCTCTTGGCGGCGCTCACCACGGCCTTGAGGATGGCTGTCAGCGGGGCGGTCGCTTGCAGGTCGCGCAGGCCTGGCGTGTTGGGGCTGGAGACGTTCACCACCAGGATATCGGCGTACTTGGCCAGTCGGTCAACGCAGTAGACGTAGTCGCGCTTGATGGCCTCGATGTCCGAGTCCGGGGTCGCCTTGTTCTTCGCAACCTGCACGGCCAGCAGCCGTCCGGACTGAAGACTTCCCGGGGGCACGCCGGCTTCGCCGTCGAGAACCCGCTGCTCGGCTACATCGTGCAGGCCGAACCCGTTGGCATAAGCGAAATCCCGCACGCGTTTCTCAAGGACGGCCGCCATGTGGTCTGCGCCCTTGGAGTTCAGCCCGTATCGGTTGATCATGGCTTTCTGAGAAGGCAGTCGGAACACGCGAGGTCGGGGATTTCCCTCCTGCGGCAGGGGAGTCGTGCCGCCGACTTCAACAATCGCAGGGCCAATAGCGAACAACGGGTCGGGGATCTCAGCATGCTTGTCAAGCCCGCCCGAGATGCCAATGGGGTTGTTGAGCGTATATCCGAAGACCTACAGAAGTAAACCTCTGAGCATTCAACTCGTAGACACACCGGGCCTGTAGTAATTACCTCAGTAGCCAACACACCGTCCCCATCCTGGTTGCCGCGTTCCCGGGGATGAAGTCCATACTTGTAGAGCGTCTTCAGAGCATCCACACCAATATGGTGCGCATCTTCCGCGTCCGGATAAAGCATCCGAATAAGGGGAACCGCACCGTAGCGGTGAATGCTGGCCCTGGTATCCGTCGCATATACATAACCCACCAACGCAGCGAGCACCAACGATGTTCCGTACACCGTTCTCTTGAGGCCGCGGCCCGCCTTCTTGGGGGCCTCCTTTACTGCCTCCGCTGCTTCGCTGGTCGTGCCTGAGGCATGTCGCAGGGCACCTTGTTGCTGGAAAGCAGCTTGTCTGTGGAGGACTGAAGGCCGATGGGAGCAGCGCAATGATGACACAGCGCGGGCCCTCAAACCGGCCGACCTCCAAGCGAGGCTGGTCGAATTGGCAACCATATCGAGTCTCGCTGGCCTGGGAGTGCTTGGTATAAGCCGTTCGCCCCGGGAATTCGACGGCCCAATTGAGTAGTCTACCTACAGGACAGTCAGGTAAACCATATCTTTGAGAATTGACGCGTAGTAAACAAGACGTCACTTCTACGTTTCTCCCAAGGGCGATTCGAACCCAGGTCCCGTTGACGATCACAAGCTCATCAACTCATCCATCCGGAAACAAAATCTCCAGCAACTCACCTTTCAGGTTACGACAATCAGAGGCCAATCAAGCAGTACGGCCCTAGCACCAAATAAATAGGAACGTTCGACTCCCGTGCGATAAAATCTGGTCCTCTTGCGTCAACGGATGCAGCGGGCGGTCAGTGATATTCCGGCATAATCTTCCACAATCTCCGAGCGGTGTGCGGTTTTCCTAGGTGCATTGACTCCGGCGTCAATACTATGCAGGTAAAGGAGTTCAAGATAGCTGTAGCTGTACAAGAAGTGTTCAGTTCACAGATTTAATTGCCAGAATAATATCTACTCGACTCCAATCTCATCCACGCCTTTTGAACGCCAGTAATCCTGCTGCTTCAACATCGATGACGAACCAACCACTACTGAGTGGCAGCAGCCTGAAAGCGAAGTCTGCGTAAGAATACATCGGGAATTGGAGAGATAAAGGCCAAAGCCTCTCACATATCTTCAAGGTATGCCGTTATGAAATGGGTATGAAAATGTTGAAATGTTACATGATGGAAACAATGTGCCGCTTGGCCAAGAAAGGCAACCAAATCGACCAAAGGCAGGCCCATAAATGATACGGTCGGGGAGGACAAGGAAATCAGGGCATGATGGTTCATTCATCGCTCATCCTGTCTTCCTCTTCGCTCACTTCTGCAGCGCTTGGCTGGTGATCGCGATCACCAGCCGCGTCTTCTTCTCTGTCGGAGTATTGGGTCTCAGGATGTTCCTGCTCCGGAGCAGGTTCGGGAGGCGGGGGGAGAGTTTTCGCAAATTTCGGATCAATGGCCGCTCGGTGTAGAGAGCGTTTGTATACCTCTGCCTCGTCTGGATCGCGGACAACGACCTGGATTTGGTCTACCTGGTCCTCCTTTGTCCTGGGGCGCGTGGGAGCAAGACCCGCCTGTGCAATGGTACGGGCCCGCTCGGGCTTCAGACGGGTCTTTCCGAGGATAGGATAGTAGTATGCACCTCTCTGTTTCGATTGCTGTCCTTCCTTGGCCTCCGCTGGATCGAAGAGGGTCAGAGCTACATCGCGCTGCTTCTGGTCATTGCCGAGGGTCTGAGCACTAGTGGCGTATGTGCGCATGCGTTCGTAACGATGGAACTTCGTGTCATCCGCTCCTTCATGAGTGTACAGGTCTTCACTGTCGCGATCCGGGTTCGAAAGCCGCAAGCTCGCAATGACTTTCTTGGCCGAGTCCTTCTTCTCGGGCAAGAAGAGGTCATAATCCCACGGTATCGGACCGGGATCAGGGTACAGGTTAGGATTCGATTTGTGTAAAGCGGCTTTGGTCGCATGTTCCTGACAGATTCGCTCTTCTGGTGCGGAAGGAAGGAGAATGGCAACGTCCATGCGCTCGTCCCGTTTCCCTGAAACACCCTGGGCAGGCGCTTTGTCGAATTTGAACTGAACGAATCCTCCCGGGTCCGGGAATCCTTGTAGATCAGGGAGCAGAGGGTAAAACCCGACCGGCTTGAGCTTCGGATTGTCAGGGTGAACAGGATGAGCCCAAGCATCGACCTCGAGTTTGGTAGGAGTGTGGCCCTTGATTCTGCTCGGAGTATCCTCCCCAACATGTCTGCTATCCGGATAAGCAATATCGAAACCTTTTTGAATGTATTTCTTGATGTACACCGGGTCATCCTGTGATTTGCCTTTGTCGAAAGAACGCGCCTTTGCTCTGATAGGTGTAACCTTGGGGCCATCGGGTGCGCGAAGTCCGGCAGAGATATATTGCGTGCGACGAAGGAAACTGACGTTCGCGTTCTTGGGTGCGGGGTTCTTGAGCTGGTCTAAAGTCATGAGCAGCGGAAGGTCGGCGGGATCAATCGGTTGAGGGTTTTCGGGTGCCATGATAGCTGCATTGAATTAGACCCTGAGCGATATGCGACAAAAGCCCAGTAGAACGTTGGCTTACCACTCTCGTCGCCCAAATGAAGCCCCGGAATACCAACGAGGTCGATCGGCATACCACCCTCGGCATCGACATCGATATTGGGCTCCTCACGTCGAGCCAAGTTGGATGCGAAACCAGGTGTTAGAAATCTCTCCAAACCCTCATGCGGAATATCGAGGAACTTGGGCGGCATATCAGGCGGAGGCAGATCATTCCGATAACGCAAAGACGCGATGTACTCCTGGTGGAAACTCCCCGAGGAGCCGCTGTCCTTTAATTTCGACATCTCGGCCCCAGTTTCAGTATCCGCCTCCGACGAGCGCGTATCGGTAAGAGGTGGACTGAAAACTGAACAGTAATGTCAGCAGGAGAGTCTGTTGAACTGCGCCAGCTGGTACCCCGAACTTACATTGGCTGGGAAGCGCAATCGATGGGATATCAGAGTCGGGAACCAGAGAACCGTCTGGGCCTCCGTTGCTGGTATTAACCGGCGCGAGAACTATACAGGAGCACGCAGATTGATAAGTGTAAGGGAGCTGGAACTACTGGAATATAATGGACTTACCTGGGGTCGGATAAACCATTCTGCATCTCTTTACCGCCTGATGTTTATAGCTTAGCGGGTTGGTGCTCTGAGGGGCGGAGAAAGGTTAAGCCGTGTTTTGTGTTCCCACCACTCCAGCACAGCACAGTCATGTGATTGTGACGCATTATATGGCTCAGACACCAGGTCAGTGAATAGCCAGACGCTTGAGAAATATCACAAAGTATCATTGAATCAATGTTGACCTCTTTGATAAGCTACCCATATTCGATCTGAAACAGTCCCCATAGTGTTATCCATAAACCAACTCCGTCATCCATAGAATACAAGAAAAGTGAAGCGAAAGCAATATCAAGAAAAGCGAACCTAGTAAGCCCACATGCACTTGTAAGCCATCAGCCGGTGGCCCAGTCTATCATATTCCAATTGCCCGATCCAGCTGTCATTGGTTCCGCTCAGCTTACCAAACACGCTTGCGCCCTTCCAGACTACCACTTGCGGATCGAGATCTCTCGGAGGTGTACCGACCATGATCTCGCTAGCAAACCCGGGTCTTAGAGTCTGGAGACGCTCTTCCAGGAAGGAGTGGAAGCCGTTGACAAGACTGCCGCCTCCTACGACCATGATCCCTCCGAGGAAGTCTCGCATCTTACGCTCATCGGATCGAGCAGCATGCGAAATAGATGTGAGGATCGCATTATCCAATGGGAAGACTGGAAGAACATCATCTCGCTCTTCGACAGTAGGTGCACGAGGCTGCGAGGCGCTCTGTCCCTGACCACTCGGGAGTGGAGTACCGGCACCCCCAGCTTGGGGAGTACCAATCGCTTCCGGAGCAGGCGACCCGGCAACCGAAGATCGGGGGGTGGCATCCAGCTCCTGGACACGGCTGAGTGCATTCACTTGGTGCGAGCGACTTGGCGTCGACTGCACATCTAACGTGAAGGGTTGGGATTCACCATTCACTTGGCCATTGGCAGGAGGAGGGGCAATGGCCGTCAAAATTTCAGACTGGGCCCCCGATGTGGGATCATTCGGCTGACCGTCGTAGATATCAACCGACCGCGTGATGAATTTTCTTCTTCCTTCGAGTTTCTGTGAGTGGTCGAATATCGAGGGTTGGAAGTACCCCATCGGGGCGAGATGTACTTCATCGTACGCTTTGAAGGAATACTTCCGGGTGTCCTGACCGGCAATGCGAAGGTGAAAATCGAACACTTGCACTGACACACTTGCTTCGTTCAAAGTGCAGACGTTCTTTTTCAACTCCTCGGCTAGCAAAAAGTCGTAGCGGCGCCATAGATTGATCTCCGCGTATGGGAAGTGGTCGAAGAGCATCATCTTGATGAACGCCTCGGTCACATCGGCTCCACCAAATTTTAGGTTGACGCGAGAATTTTCAATACACATTCCTTCCTCCACGCAACAGATGGACGTCTTTTGCGCGCCAATGTCGACGACGCATGCTGATGTGAATCCGGCACCGAAGGTGGCCGCTAAACTCTCCTGGATGAAGCAGACACGGGCGAATGAAAACTCCCTCATCAACATCTCGAGGATTTGGGTAACGTAAGTCTTCTCGTACAAGTCAGGAATAACGAAAACGCATGAGTACTGAGGCCATTCCTTCTTGCTGGTCAGGCCCAATTGGCTTTTGATTGTGTCCTCCAGAATGAGCGAGATGTCCAGGAACAAGAGTCTCTTGCTCTCATAGTCTCTTTCGTTGCACCATCCGTATCGCATCGGCCAGTAGAGTTTGTATCGGGGTTTCGAGTCGTCAGGTATCCTGAGCGCTGCTTGCCCTACAATATATTCAGGTGCTTCGCCGGCAATATCTGTCCATTCGACACGCAGCGGGTCATTGTGTTCCGGGATGGTCTCTGGTACCGTTCTCCGATTGTAGTTGATAACCATCTCTTTCGAGTTGGGTAGAGTCCTGCGCTTGTTTTGTCGCATATGCGCTTTGAGTTCTGCGACCATCGTGGTATACTGCGAGGAGAACTATTTTCATGCAAGTGGTTATTAACGGCGAAAGTAAGACCAAGACGCTGGGGTAGAACAAACCTCTGGACCAAGCATTTTCTCAGGCTCCATCAAAGAATCATCGTCCAATCTCAATCGTTTCGGATGGGGCTCGTCATGGTCTTCGGACTCGCTTGTGGTCGATTTTCGTGCAATCACCATAGGAACTGTCTTCGGCAGTGCGTCGCTGGCCAGGCCGATGCGCAGATTCTGGCTTCCGATATGAACGACAATAACCTTGGAGCCTAATGTTTCTGTTGTCTCCTCCGCGCCGTCCTCCATATTTGTATCACCATCACCGTCAGCCTCTGTTTCGGGTAAGCCCAAGTCGTTCGCCTTCGCCATGGCTAAAGCGCGGTCCCGGTCTTTGGCTGTTTTTGCCATTCTGTTCCTCGCCTCTTCATTTTGTAGTCTGAATGCTAGGTACTGATCGTCCCTCTTGAGATAGTCACTATTAGAGACGTGAAGTTAGCGATATAAACCAGAAAGTCCACGCTTGCAATCTGAATGACACGTGAGCCGGACGTACGTGTAGTAATTCTTTTGGTTGATCGGAGCGATCTGAGGCCAATTCGACAACTCCATGTTGTTATCCGTCCTCTCCAGGCCTTGCCATCAGAAAAAATGTCAGTCATAACCGCTCGCCTGACGTGGGGACTGAGGAACGGAGCGGTACAAGGCCGCTGGCTCCAGAGATACTCACCCTCATCTTTGAGGGCCTTTCCAGACTTTTTGCCAACCATGGTTGTGCTTCAGTCAGTAAAAATGACTTTTGCGAGATGCAAGGCAAGATGAAGACGGGAATTCGGTAATGACCCAGTCAGAAGCCAAAGACGCTCTTCAAAGTGGACACTGAGGAGGCATAGGAAGCATTCAGCGCTAGGGGTGTTGATAGGGAGAAGCTGTAGTATCGGAGTCGCAGAAGGGAGAAATGGCGCCTGGGAAGAGAAGCGCGCAGCAGCTGTTGTACAGAAATAGGAAAATCACGGCGCAATCCCGCTCAATGGACAGTCTCAGAGGTCATCCCCAATGGGTCTCACAAGAAGTGACTGACGACTGAGCTTGGGCCAGGCCGATCGGCGCCGCAGGGTTCGCCCGCGGTCCAATGATTGCCACAAGGTGACAAGACACACCAAGAAACTCGCGATTTAGTCAGCTATTCAAGGCTGAAAGTACCTATGCGCTGTTGATATCTTCTACATTTCTTTATCTTCACTTTTATGTAACGAAATACTCTTGGTTCTATCTCGTCCGAGCAGATCCACGCTGCTATCGTCCCATTCTAGTTGTATATCTCGTCCTGCTCCTCACGGCTCACGCTTCCGCAAACACCTCCCCTCAGCCTCTCGATTGATCACGCCCGCCGACTGCAGTGTCCCTTGTCGGATTCACAACAATGGGAGGCTCACTATCACGTCTGTGGTCTTTCTTCTGGACCAAGAAGGAGATTCGAATCCTTATACTAGGTCTCGTACGTGCATTTGTGCTCTGCGCGCTGCATGCAATTCGCCAGGTTTAAGGCTCATTCGCTTTTATTTATCCTGTAGGACAATGCCGGGAAAACCACGCTTCTTTACAGGCTTAAGGTATGTTTCAGGTGCTTAATTAAATACATCTGCTCTGATTTCTGATCGTCTCGCTAACTGACACGCACTTTGACAGATCGGTGAAGTAGTCACAACAATACCTACCATCGGATTCAACGTCGAGTCGGTTACATACAGAAATTTGAATTTCAATGTCTGGGTATGTTGAATGCGTCTTGGGAACGGCCGGATAATTCAGAGCTTGTGGAATTTGCTGAGATGCGATTATTGTAGGATCTGGGAGGTCAAACATCCATTCGACCATACTGGCGGTGCTACTACGCCAACACTGCTGCTGTTATATTCGTCATTGATTCTACCGATATTGAGCGACTTGGTACAGCTGCGGATGAACTCGCGGCTATGTTGAACGAAGAGGAGCTGCGCGATGCGGCTTTGCTGGTGTTTGCAAACAAGCAGGATCAACCCGGCGCCAAGGGCGCCGGAGAGATTTCGGAAGCTCTGAAGCTTGGGGAGCTGCGAGATAGGAACTGGAGCATCGTAGCATGCTCCGCCATTGATGGTAAAGGTCTAGATGAGGGTATGGACTGGTTGGTTGTAAGTCGCCCTCTCAGGCTGCCCGCCTGCTTCCTGTCTATACTCGCTTTACAGTGGTACTAACTTGTAACTAAGCAAACACTTCAAGCGGAGAACGCATAAGCGCTGGCGTTGTTCAATCTCTGTCATAGATCCCCGTCTGCTTTGTCTGCTTCCTTCATTGCGATCTATATCTCGTCCTGATGCCCCTTAAAGGACTCGGAAATGTTGCTTTATTTAATGAGTCCGAGGTTCCCCAGCTTCTTTTCATTCTTACCGACTCTGTTATGCTGCGCGGAGTCCATGTCTTTTATACAGTACAGTTTTGGTTGCGACTTGGCAGATTTAGCATAATATCCTAATTTAACTCGGCAAGGAATCCATTGACCTTGCAAGACTTATACATGTCTTCACCAGGAGTTCTGATCATGCTGTACACGGAAAATGATATTTCTGAACGGGCCAAGTGTGGAGTGTTCTGTTATCCTTCGCCCATTTATCTTCTCACTGAACAAGCTCTGCTTTCTTTGTCCACATAGCTGGTAGCTATGTCGCTGGGTCAGTGTCATTCTGTCAGTACGAGTCCACCAAATATTCACTATTCAATAGTTCAGGGCCAGCGTTCCTCTATCAGTTGACAGAAACAGCAATCTCAACTTCTTATCGACGGTTGCTTCCTATCATTGACCCCTGCACCAATCAATTCCCCGGTCTGATCGCCTGATCTACTCATGATACCACTATCAGATTATCCCCGCATTTATAACGATAGGACTGTCTGATTTAGTCAAAGCGGTCATAATTCAGGGACAGAATCCACATTGGTCAATACTCCTATATGAGCTACCCTTGACCCTGATCCGGCATTAACAGCTTTCGGATTTGATAGTGGTTAGTTGACGTACCTCGACATCTTCGCCAGACACCACAACATCGCAATCATGGCAGTCCCTCCAACACAAGTCGCAGCAGTCGTTCCAGCTCCCGGAAAGTCTTCAAGCGCACAGGTAGAGATTACAACTGAACACCCTGTCCCATCTCCAAAGCAGGGGGAAGTGCTCATCAAGCTCGAATATTCCGGAGTGTGCCATTCCGATGTCCATAGCATTCGCGGGGATACTCCCATGTTAACGGACGTCGCGGGTCACGAGGGCGTAGGGAAGGTAGTGCAAGGTAAGGCATATAGAGCAAACTGGCCATGTCTAGGGCTTCTGATGTAATGCCTATCTCTTAGTTGGATCTAACGTGGATGGGGAGGCTTGGATGGGCAAAAGAGTTGGGATACGGTTGGTCCTTTTTCCTGCTTCGTTCGAGTTTAGACTAAGCAATAACGCGCTTGTCGGTCACAGATGGCTTTACAGCTCTTGCTTGAAGTGCGAAATCTGCGCTATAAATCACACGGCTTGTCCTTATCAGAAGAACGCTGGTGCGGTAGGTTTGCCATCACGGGCTGAGTAAATGCGTTGCAGCTGCTTCAACAGATCTAACCTGAGGCAGAATGTCCCAGGGACCTTTCAACGTTAGTTGAGTTTTTTTCTTTTGCCGCGGAACCGACTGAGTGAATGACACCTTGATTAGAATTCATTGTCAGTCCTGCAGAACATGTCACGATAATCCCGCCCGAGCTGGATCCCGATACAGCAGCACCACTTTTGTGCGGTGCGTTTGTCCAAGCCAGATGGCCCTGGAGCATTGACTAATCTGTGAATAGCGGGAATTGCCATGTACTCGTCAATTATGAAGACAAAAACCCGACCAGGAGATTGGATCGTGATTCTTGGAGCTGGTGGAGGACTTGGGCATATGTATGGAACATCTCATGAGACTGCGGCAGCAGTGGAGGATTGACTTCTAGCATCAGGGGAATCCAGATCGCAATCCAGAAGGGACTTAAGGTCATTGCGGTTGACAGGTAAAGTCGGTTGCGAAATTAGCAATGGCTCCGCTTGCTGATTTTGGTCCAGTGGGGACAGAAAGAGGGAGCTCTGTCTCTCGCTTGGGGCGACAGTCTATTTTGATTATAAAAAGGATGTTATCGATGGTAGGGTCAAGTCTGTTACTCGAGGCCTAGGCGCCCACGCGGTGATATGCACGGCGAACAGTGAGTCGGCGTACATTCAAAGCATGCAACTGCTCCGCAGTCTGGGGGTTTTAGTCTGCGTCGGTATCCCGAACAAGCCTTTTAGACTACCGGCAACGCCGTTCGACATGATTGTGAAAGGTATGAAGCACCCCAAGTGAAGTCAAGCTCATTTCGACTGGGGACAGTGTGCTAAGTCTCTTGGTTAATAGGTCTCACCATTGTCGGAAACTCTGCTGGTACCGCCAAGGAGATGGAAGAGCTACTAGATATGGCCGTGGCAGGAGACGTGAAGGCTCATATTGAGTGTTTTGACCTCTTTTGTATCAATGACGTTCTACAAAGACTGGAGAGGGCTGAAATTGACGGACGAGCTGTCTTGAAAATCCCTGAATGAGGGTAAGAGTCGAGAGCACCCTCTGCTTGTCCAAGCATGTTGTCGGTCAAGGATGGTTAGAGGGTCCTAGTTCGAGGTCAACATAGTCGGTCGCTATAGTCGGTCGCTATATACGGCTCTGAAAAGGATTCAGGCTCGCAATATGTACTAGATGACTGTTCATCAGACACCTCCCGATGCACTGCCAATTGAAACATATCTTAGGTTCCTGACACGACAAATTCAATGTAAAAATCCATGATCGAGCCGGATAATTTGTCTATCTTTGGGGTAATCATTACTATGGTAATCGCAAAGATTCCATCCTCTACGCGATGGTAGTAGGCCCTCGGAGTGAAATGCCGCTATACCCGAACTGTCATCTGCCAACTGGCAACGGCGAAAAGGACTGTCGACATCTGCTGCCTCCACTTTCCATTATTCCCACATGCACCTCCTCGACACTCCACCGACTCAGAAGTGGCGGATGATTGTGCATAATCGTCAATGCGACTCTCCGATATCGATCCATGGATGGACAAAGGGACGATCAAATGGACCTTACGGAGTCCCTCAAGCCAAAGTGTGCTGGCGGACCGCGCTGTGATTGGCTCCGCACCTCTCATACATTGAAGCAGCCCAGACAACGAGACACGCATTAAACTTCATCGTGATCGCTGATGCTCTCTCCCCACGGGCACTCTGTTCACTGCGATGATTTGCGATCCTTGAGCCGGAACGAGGCTCCACGTCCAGCGCTTTCCCGCACATGCTGCCACCCTGCTTTCCTACTTGCCAGGGCACTGATGCTTCTGGCTGCTCCTGCATCGTCCGGGTTCCTACGTACCTTTTCCCAATTCTGGGCTCCAGTACAATTAAGCAGATCCCCCGTTGCAATCATCCAATAGCGTCTTGTGAATGTTGAAGACTACCTGTACGCTACAGGCTATCAGCTGCCCTTCGAGCCGCTTTTGATTATCTTCTGGCCCAAGTCTCCATATTGAGCCACTTTCCAAAACTTTCCCGCTACTTGCGATGCCACACTGCTCTGATGGACGTTAGCATCTTATCTCTTCCTGAGGACCATGTGTGGTCCTGATAGGTTATGGCGAACCATGCTGCTCCGATATTGGGAGCCAACGTTTACGACCGAGGAGTCACGGT